GGGGGGGGGGCGGGAACGCCAGACGCATATTTATGTATGTACGCTTGTACACACATGTTTTTACAATATGTCCTGTTGCGGCTTACACTTCGGTTTATGTGAGGCTATCCTGAAGTCTTCGGCTTCCTTTAGTCATCTACGTGGACGGGCCAATGGTTTAGGATTTAGGGTTCGTCTCACAGCTGATCACAGCATGTCCCCGATGAGCGCTGGCAAATTAGCCGACAGGAAACGCAAAACCCCTGCAGGAATCTCAAAACACAGCGGCCTCCACCATAGAAACTTCATGAGTACTAGGAAACCCGTCGATGCTTCATCGCGCGTATTTGGTAGTATGCAAGCCATCGAAAGCAATACTGGGCGAGTGGCTGTTATACTCGTGTAGCGGTGCAAAAGGGATTTAAAATACTAAATGTTCAGACACCTATACGACCCGCCATCTAATACTATACCAACATGTACGAATCATCGTAATGACTCCAGGGTGTCGGGAGAGCACTTGCTGAGAAAGTCTCAGGCTTTTGCATTGAGGTTTGGGGTTTTGTTTCTTACGGTCAGGATTTCGACTTGGTACACTTCCAAGTTTTTAAGCTTGGGGTGTAGGATACATTTTTGGGTTGTGCTTTCACTCGGTCCCCGGCGAGAGATGTGGCAGATGCGATCCAATACAAGCCTTGCTTGCAAGGGCAAAGGGCTTACATCCTCACCCATTGCCTCTTCGCAGATACTTCAACTATCATGGTGGAACCCCAAGGCATACAGCAGTACTACTAATTGTTCAGGCTATATTACAGGATAGGTCTGAATTGCGATTTCAATTTCAATTAAATCACATTTGAAAGCATGATTTAAACTCGATGTTACTTGAAATTTGAAGCTGGGATTTCTTGATATTCCCACTGTTGATGATATAAATCCTGNNTGCATTACCTTAAGGACCCAAAACTACGGGAGTCATGGTATATTCCTTATTACGGGTAATGCAGGATTTATATCATCAACAGTATTACAGGCCTTCCAGCTCCGAATTTCCGATGATGATTTACGATGATGCAACCGGGTCTTCAAGAGTCGTCAGGCTCTGGGCTTAGCTCTACTTCAGCGCTGCAGGAACTGAGGAGCAAGGGGTTCGTTAGGGTGCAGCTTGCGATTGGGATCTAGTTCAACTTGTTGTTGAGTGGGTGGCCAGATGGCCCCTCAGATTCTCACCAGAAGCCCCTTCAACTCAAAAACAGAAGCAATGTGTTCAATAGCGCCTTGTGTTAAATTACCCTAAACTCCTAAATTCTAAACTCAATAATAACCGCTTGGGATTCATTTATCGAAACAACGAAAGACATAGGGGCTGAGGGCAAGGGTTGCTAATTGCTAAACGAAAAAGAAGACCCGCTAGCAGCCCACTATTTATGAGAGAAGACTGCGATAGTCTGCATTTGGTCTACATACGGGCAATGCTTAATTGATCGCTGGCTCTCTTTCTGTCAGTCGAACTCCGGCTGTCTTTTTGCGTTTCTCTCTGTCCCGGCATGCGGATACTGGCATCTGCCGCTGTGCACTTGGCCTGATGGCCACTGGTGAGCATTGAGACGCAAACAGTTACCACTCGCGAAAGCGGCTACCTCTTCTTCTTCCCTAGGGCTGGGGGGATTACCGCCTCTCTCGCTCTCTGTATCTCTCTCTTTGCCGTCTTGTGCAGCAATTTCAACGGCCCACAGCCCAAGCTTGCCCAAGAGGCCCGTCGGTACAAAGGTCTGGTTGTCAACGGAATACAGGATCGGATAGGTGCCTGGAAGCATGTCGTGAGGAAAGAATCTCTACGCCCCAACAACGAAGCCTGCAAAGTATGGAACGTTATTGGTCCAAGCACGTTTGCATACAAGCTTATTGCTGAGGATCTCGAATTTCGGGCACTGTGACACAGTGAAACTGTGACCTTATTGTGGCTCTACGATAACATACCCCTAAAGCCCTGTATTCCTAAACCGTGAAAGCTTCATGTCGTAGTTGCAACTGACACGGCTAAACAGGCCCGCCAAGCAACACTCCATTCTAATTGTTATTGTTGAATTATATCGTCATTATGTTTGCTGCCTGGCCTCCGGTTATTTTGAAGATCTGATACAGACAATTAACAAAAGGGGTTCTTCTGGGGCCCAATCTAGACCTCTTAGGGACCATGCCACGGCCCTGCAAACGCTATGAATCCGATCACTGCTGCTAAGCCCTCTAAACCCCAAGTTCCCAAAGCCGTAACAACCGTAAAGCCGAAACCCCTGCATTCCCCAGTAGCCCCTTATAATGAGAAGGGTAGCCTTTTTAATATAATTTGGTTTTACGTTCCAATAAGGGAATTGGGCAAAAGGGTACTTGTGGGAATCTAGGAACCTAAATCCGAAGCCCCTAAACCCTAAACCCCACACGAGGCCTGCTTCGTCTTGGATAGGGGCGATCGTGCGAAGGCTCTCTGCGTTGGCCAAGGCCGCAGAAGCCTGGCGTCAGGTTCCTCTAAGGGATCCTTCAAAATACTAGACGGGCTCCTGTAAATTACTAAGCGTTCCGTTAAACCACAAAAAATATAGCTTAAATTACTTTAAGGGTGTACTTCAATTTCTGTAAAAGTTCCTATATGGGTTGCTACACCAGTCCCTATAAGGATTGCTGATTCCTGTAAGGGTTCCTGTACGGCTTACTGTATGGGCTGCGAAAATAAAGGCGACGAGAAGGGTAACTGCACGGTTCCTGTAAGGACTAGTGTGGGACTTCTGGTTAGAGTTTGGGGGGGCTTCATTAGGGTTGGGCACGGCTACTTTGTTTTTGCTTGCCTTCCGTATGCGTCGAAAAAGGCCTGCATGGCCGGTTTCCAATAGAAAACAACTGTGCCGGACATTCAGCTACACCGCTTTCAGGATGCAAATCTTTTCGAAGGGCTACCCATAGGCCCCATATTAGTTCCTTTTTGGGGTTACCTCATAGGATTCTATATATGAACCCCAACAAGGAACTACTTTAGGGCCTATGAGTATTGGCTTCTGGAAGCTTCGGTTTCCATTTTTAAAAAGTTCGGCTTACTGCGACCTCCAACTCAACAAGAGCTGGCTTTACGAGCCCCACCGGTCCAAGGCGCCGTGGCTGCCAAGGGAGTATAGTATTTAGGGTTTAGGGTTTAGGATTTTGGGTTTAGGGTAATAAACCTGCTGATGCTGCGACAACCGACCTGGACCAAGTGCAGAACGCGTTGCAAAATTCCACGGAGCAGGTGGCAAAGATTCGGCAGAGTCATGGTGGCTGAGATGATGAGGATGGTGGGCTAGGATAGTATCGATGCTGTAGCACCCCCACAAGGCAACAAGGCCAGAAATATGACCTGTACCAACAAGCCACGCGGAATCACTGGGGGGGCATCCAACTCTAGGCTGCAACTGCCTTCTTCTCGCCGAACTGCAGGTACAGATTCGGCGTCCTTCGGAAGTTTTTGCCGGACAGCGTCGCCTGCGTCAGCGAGCCTGGGCCGACGATAAACATACAAACCGGTACGGTTTAGGGTTTAGGGTTTAAGGTTTTAGGGTTTAGGGTTTAGGGCTTTTGGGGTTTAGGGTTTTACCGTTTACGGTTTAGGGTTTAGGGTTACCCCGCAACTGTCAGCTTATGACATGAAGTGCAACTGCGAGGTGACTGTATCGTGTGAAACATGGGCTTTTCCAAGACGTGGGTTCTGTGCTTCTGGCCGTTGAAGTTCACAAGACTTGTGACCTATACTTATGTAATTATAAGAATAACTATGCTTTAGTTATAATCATACACCATAACCTCCGGAAGGCCAGCCTGTCCGCCTCGCATGTAGGTTGCCCCAATTGCCGGCGCATGCCGTAAGAAATTGTGCTAGCTAAGGCCTGATGGTATGACTACAAAGTCACAATGTCTGCCGTCTCCCGCAAGTTTGCTGCCCTCGAATAAGAAGGTGCGAATCTCACGGCACATTACTCTCATCTAAGCTTCGTCGCCAAAAGCAGAAGCGACCGGGACCGTGAAGGCAGCATCTGAAAGATGTAGACCCCCTAAACCCTAAACCCTAATAGTGCTGGCAAGATGCTGAAGAGTCCGCCCGAAGGGATGATACCGCTGAACTCAAAGTCTCGAAGGTAGCTGTAGAAGTTGTTGAGATTCCTCGTCCGGGCTGCACCGCATAGTTTCATGCTCGCTCGCCCGAAAGCACGGGAGTCACGGACAAAACCTGTAAATTCGGAAATGGTTTTGATGTCCTACTGTTGCTTCACGAAATCGTTTACTACCTTGAATACTGCGTCCCTGCAGAAATTCTGGGTTCCGGGATACTCCATGGCTGTAGAGATCAGACAGTGCATGTCAACAGCTATGCAATTCGCCTACATGCACAATAAACGCAAGGTGCTTTGCAATGACTTGTACATATGTTGCCAACAAACGTGTTGATAAGGAACCTCCTGGGGTTCCATTGCTTAAGCGTGGAATCTTAACTGGAAAAAACTGAAGAACCGCACGATAACCCCAGGCGCAATTATGATTAGAGTAGGGTTCCTGGAGGGCGATTGGGGATTTCGGGATTGATATAGGCGCCTTAAGTATTAGAATAGGGTTTAGACTTAGGGGTATGTTCGGATAACCAGAAGGATATTCATGCAGAATACTGGTACTGAAGTATCCCGGCCTCTATAATGACCCTCGTGTGGTTGCAATCAACTACGTCTCTAAGGGTATGTACACTAAGTTGAGGGATCATAGCCTAATGTTTTTTGGGATTGAGGCTAGAGCCTGAAAAAACACGCCTCCGGGTTAAGGGTGAAAAGGTTTCAAAGACAGAACCCCTCACCTAAAACCCAAACCTTCAAACTTGACTGTTGCAGACTTCTAACACCCTCACACAAACTTTGAACGATCGAACCTTCCTTGAGGCCTAGTGCAGGGGCGTTGAACATTAACACATGCTTTTGGGATAGATTCTACTACATCTGAAGGAAGGCCTTCAGGAATACTGCTGGTAGATATTCAGGCCCTGATACTAAATCTTACCCTCAACCCTACACCCTAAGCTTCGGCCCTAAACCTCATGACGATCGAAGGATCGTCATGGTCTGCCCTCCATCGAAGCTGAGATCGACAGTCACCTCAGAACATCAGCGTCCTCATGCCATCCGGGCAGTCTACGGAGACTCGCAGCACGATCCACGCTTTGTCCATATTCAGTCGGGTTTGGGTTGATGACTTCAGGTGGTCGATGTTGGCACTGGCAACCAGTTCAGGCGTGCATGTGTTGCGTGTGCATATGTACTAATGTCAATAAAGGCCAAAGGCCCTTGAACCAGTTCGATTCACTCAACCCTGAAACCATTATCGAAACCTATAATAATGCACGCCATAGGGCAACAGGGCCTCACCCTTGAGTCACTGTAAACATGAGGCTTCAGCCGCCGGCTTGCAAATAAGAGAAGGAGTTTCGGGTGTCAGGGGTTATGCTTCAGGGTTTTCCCGATCGTGCTTAATATTCACGTGGGAGCAGTTCTTGGTTTAGGGCGGCTCGTCATGCCAACGGAAGACTATATAGCCCCAAAAAAGCACATAAGCACAATCGGGATCGGGATATCCCATATAAATCCCCTTATAATGAAGCCCAATAAGGTAGGGATATCCCTATAAAATGCTTATGCCTATGTCCGTTTTGGGATCCTCAGACTAAACCCTAAACCGCCGAGCGGCGTCTACAGGTGGTTCGGCCGTCGTTATGCTTGCCAGAGGCGGGGCTCGGCACATCATCGTGGTGGGGCTGCTGACCACCTTTGGCTTAGGGTTTAGGGTTTAGGGCTTAGGGCTTAGGGCTTAGGGCTTAGGATTTAGGGTTTAGGGTTTAGGGGATTAGGAGCAGGTCTCCATCTATAGTCTCGTAGTCTAGAGCTAGTGTCAGATACACAGCCGGGATGAGCGGAGTCCGATAGAATTCGGGAAGGCTCTGGGGTTCTTGAGCTTGTTTGGATAGTTCGAAGACAGAAGCGAAGCAACGCAAAGTACCTGTTGCAAACAGATACTTGGAGGTTCATGGGTAGTTATAAGTGGGGTTAGAAGTAGGGTAACTATAGTTATAACCCGTCTTAGGTGACTTATAACCCCACTTATAACTACCCATGAACCTCCTAGCAAGGGTGACGCGGCCAACCCCGTCTGGGGTTAGTCAAGACAGCCGGAACACTTCGTCAGACAAATACTTCAAATCCCTGAGCCCCTGATCACTGGGGGACCACAAGAAGCCACCCCAATTAAGCCCGATAGACAATCCCACAGACTATCTGATCCATGGGGTCTGCCAGCCAACAAGAACGCGGAAACAAGGACTCTGGAGCAAAAGGGGGAACTCGGGTGCATTCGCACTGGCATCCAAGAGAATCTAGAGATGCTTGGGCGCATGAATCTGCGAGTTCGGATTAGGGGGACCCTTGGGGATATAGACCCTCTCAATAAGGTCTCTTTTAAGAGAGCCAGAAGTAGGGTTCAGAAGGGTCCCCTGTAAGGGGTCTCCCTAATACTACCTAGGAGAATGCCATCGGCTGTTCTGCTCTCGCCTCTGCAGCTTAAAACGTCTAGAGAGAGCCACAACCCTCCATGAAGGAACACACCACACAGTTTAGGGCTTCACATCACGATCTAAGTTAAGTGGTAGAGGGCTCTCCAACCATTCAACCGGTATCCGGGCTCGAGGGATAGACCTTCCTTCCCTGAGGATCTATGTGCCCAAATAGGTATATACTTTGGCCCGCAAGTGGTCCCTTTGTAGATGCTTTGGGGCCAAAGTATATACTATTCGGGCACATGGACCCTGAAGGCTTCATAAAGAGGCATTAGCCTCTCTGGGCAACCCTTTCCCCTGTCTCTGAAGCCTCTGAGAAATGAGTCATGTCATGATTTGAGCTCCACTGTGTCTCTAAACCCGAAACCCTATAAGCCTTAAGCATTGCCTGATGTGACTCGACCCAAGACCCTCAACCTCAATATAGGGGCCTGACTTAGCAATCATGACAAACGCTTGGGACATATTGTACTACAATGATCTAACGGCCAATAACAATAACAAAACCACTATGCTTATTATGCCAGACCCGGATATCAAATGCATCCTTTCGGCCCTGGGTTTAGATTCGCCTGAGATATTGGCCAAGGCTTTTGAAATTACTTTGTTATCCTTTCGGGAGACGAGGAGCAGCAATAGAGAAGAAAGAGCGACCGAAGACGCATCCGACCAAGGATGAGTTCACCTCACGTCCCCAGGCTTTTCGACTCCACCAATGTGCAGGGCTTCAGTTCACAGCTTACCGTAAGGGTCCATGTACCCAAATAGCATATACTTTGGCCCAAAGTACCTCTATAGGGACTACTTTATGGCCAAAGTATATACTATTTGGGTACATGGACCCTTAGGGTTAGGGTTTGGCTGTAAGCCTAGAACTACCACAGAAACCCCTGCCATACAGTGTTCTTGAGAGTCTGACCGCTTAATGCCCAGCATGCGCATAGAAACCCTGAAGCCAAAGTCTGCAAACCTCGGTCCGACTCCTGTTTTGGGATGTATAGGGCCCCAAAGAAGCACATAAGCAAAAAACATGATCCGGATATGCCATATAAAACCCCTTATAATGAAGCCCATAAGGTAGGGATATCCCTGTAAAGAGGCTTATGCTTATGTGCCTTTCGGGTCCCTAAATTTAAGTCTTCAGCACGGTGGCTCGTTGGTAGTTTATGAAGCCTTCCTGCAAACGGGACTGTTTCAAATCCCGAAGCTGTGTCCCTAAACCCTCAACCCCATGCCTCTGACTCTCCATGGCAGTTCCGAAGCCCTTGGAGTCCAACCCCTAAACGCCCAAAAGCCCCCTAAAGCCTAAGAGTTCTTAAGCCCTTGGAGTTCCTAAGCCTACCGGTAGTCTCCATTGTAGTTCCTTTTTGGGGATGCCTTATAAAATCCTTAATAGAGTATATATTTGGTTGAACCAAAAAGAAGTACAATGGAGACTATAGGTAGACCCTAAACCCCCTTTGTTTGAACCCAGGCTCTGCAGGTGACGATGAGCTGGGAAGCTGAAACCCTAAACCGCGTAAACCCTAAACCCTAAGCCCTAAACCCCTAAACCCTAATTAAACCCCTAAACCCCTTCGCCCTAAACCCCTTCGCCCTAAACCCCTAAACCCGAATTAAACCCCTAAACCCTACACCCCTTCGCCCTCTCTCTCTCTAAACCCCTAAACCCTAAACCCCTAAACCCCTAAACCCGAAGAGTTCCTCAGCTCTTGGTGTTCCTACCCCTAGGCCCCACAGTAGCTCCCTTTTGGTGGCTTATACTTAGGATCCTTTTTAGGGAATCCCAAAAAGGGACTACTATGGGGCCTTTAGGATCCTATTAGGGAATCCCAACAAGGAACTACTATGAAGCCTAGAATCCTAGTTGGGAATCGCAAAACGGAACTACTATGGGGCCTATGAGGCTACTCCCCGAAGAGTTCCTGCGCTCTTGGCGTTCCTAAGCCGAAGGGGGAAGTTAAACCCTAAACCCTAAACCGGTTTAGGGTTTAGGGGAAGTTTGCGCCAGGATGCCGTGGGGAAGACGAAGCCATTGCCAGTAAGCCTGGGCTCTCGTCACTTTCAGGGCCCTTCGCGTTTAGGGCTTAAGGTTTTGGGGTTCTAGGTTTAAGGGCATAGCGCTTTAGATTTAGGGCTTTAGGGGTTCAGGTTAGATTAGGGTAGGTTGGAGTTCTCTCGATGGTGGAAAGATTGCACCCCAACTGCCAATTTGGACAAGGCGGCATGAGGTCAGCACCTCCTTTCGATGCAACGCCGTGGCGAGGACTGACGAAGAGCTCCTGCTTGCAACCGTATGGGGATCTAGACGCTCTAAATATACTATACCATCCCAAGCGGTCCTCGGTATTTTCCGAACATAAAAACCTGACATTCCACTATATAGATTATATAGATACTTTGGACCCTTTGGACATGCTACTCTCTCCCCTCAAGGCCCATATTCAGAGTCTGAAAGCGTTCTGAAAGCGTTCATAAAACTCCATACCTACAAAAGCAGCCAGGAGATGACTCGTGCGAGAGACTCAGATCCAAAGCAGCAACCCTATGACAATCCATGTGCTCAAAGGGGTAGTTCTCTACACTAGGATCCCTAAGATACTACGGTACCCTCATACAAAGGACCCTTAAAGGGACCCTGATTCAGAGAACTCCCCCCCCCCATTATAGTATAAACTTTGGACGAATTATTCCGACCCTCTTCTTGCCCTGACACGTCCTGAAACCCCATGTAGTGCTCATGCACAGAATCTGGCTCAAGTCAGCGGATGTGCCACGATCCAACAGAAATGGTCGTTGAACGTTAGCCCTCAGCCCCGAAATGCGCATAAGACGCTCTATAGGCAGTCACGCACATCGGAACAGCAGTGTGCCTGCGTGGCACGCACCGGGATGTTGTGCTGACGGAAATGAAGACTTCGTGGCAATGGAATCCAGACCTTGCCCAGCGGCATGTGCAGAGGTAGCTCTAGCTGTAGGGGTTACCTGGACCCTTAAGACCCTACCTTTTTAGGGTTCCTTATTATGGTTTCTTAAAAAGGTAGGTTATTAGGGGTTAAGGTAGTCACCCTCAAGTCCATCAAGCCTCCCGAAGCACTTGTCATCATCGTTGAATTGGGGCTTCTAGGGTTTATCAGCAGGCCTATCCCTGAAACCCCTAAAATACAAAGTGTGTTGGAAGGATTTCGCTACGGGATCGGGGTTGTTACACTCTCACAACTCGGACAATCCAGGCGATGTCTATCGAGCGAAGTCGGCACGTCCGGGGTTGTTACGGTTCGGGGTTTTCATGAAACCTAAATAACTCCTTCTTATGATTTCCTCAGGCGGACTTTTAGGTCCAGGTAGGGCTTTGGGTATATCAGGTCAGGGTTGAGCGTCAAACCTCGGTTTCTCCGAGCAGCCGGTGGTATGCCCGCGAAGGACACCTCGAGGGTCAAGGGCATCTCGTCTCCCGTGCGCGCCCAGGGGGCAAAGCTCCGGTGTGACGGGACGGCACCTGGGAAGGGAGCAGCAGTGGAACCTAACGCTTCGGGTTGTTGGGCTTCGTTGCATGTGGCTCAGGGCATTTGTGGCGCCTCGCGGTGGCAAGCGTGTGCTGGGTGCGTGTAGGGCTGATATACAGCACCCTGAACACTAAAGTAGGACTTGGCCACGTAATTTCAAGACTTCCGGCTTCAGGCCGCATGAAGCTCTGAGGCAGTCTCGGATTTGCGGGTTTAGCGCTTTGATTCTGTAAACTCAGTTTTCCACCTGCTTCGAATCTCCCCTACCCTCGATGCGAGTTTCGGGTTGAAGGGGTTTAGAGTCTAGAGATCATGCAGCCTTTCTTACATCCTGCGGTTCTGCCAACTTGTCGGCGACTTTCGGCATGACACTCTGCCTACTACAGCCGACAAAGCGCCACTTTCGCCTCATGAGGCATCCCTATTGAAGATCCCAAGGCCCTAAACCTCCCTACCGAAAACCCTCCCAAACACAATCCCATCCCACCAGCCCCAAGAGGGGGCTTGGGTTCAAAGATGTCGATACCTATCTTCACAAGGGCTTTACTGACTCGTTTACATGCGCTTACGAAGGGTTCCGATGTGTTGAGCTCCGCTTTCGGTTTCGGACTTGGGACTTTGGGCCAAAGGGCGCCTGAAAACCGCCGGACACTTCGGGTTGGAGGATGACAAGGGTTTTAGGGTTCAGGAGTTTGGGGGTAAGGGTTGTGAAGGCTTTTATGAGGGGGGGAGGGGCGGGGGACGGGGTTAGGGCATTTTGTTATTGGCTGAGTGGCGATGGGGTAGAATCTAGGGCTCTAAGGTGTGGGCAGATGATGTGGTCGTTTCCGCCGACGGAGGCTGGCACCACGTAGGTTCCTTGGATCCAGAAAGAGTCTCAGAGTTTCGGGTTTAGGAACCCTTTTTGCATCAGGACTTGTGCAATCGCCTGAATGTCCCTCCTAAACCCTAAACCCTAAACCCCTTTTAAAGTTGGAAGGTGGAGCTCGGGGTTGAAAGCTTCTGGTGTAGGGTGTATGGAGTTCTGCTGATTTGCAGGCATTATTCGGTTCCACTGCCTCAAATCCTGTGTCGCTTTAGAGCAGGGTTGTCTACGGGGCTGTGATGATCACATTAGCTATAAAGTACTATGATATGGTAGACAACGCTATATTAAACTTTATGTTATGCTACAATATACTAATGTCTCTGGGGCCTCTTAGCTTTGGACTTGAGAGACTAGCCTTGCAAATGGTCGCAGACGTAACGTACCTTTTAGGGTTCGAGGCTTCATTATCAGGGTTTAATGTGTAATTCGGCTTCGCGGCTCATGACCTGTTCAGGATGTGGGTACCTTTGCCACATTTTTGATGATGCTCAATATCGAAATCCCTAGAATCTAGCGAACACGAAGCGACGAGAGGAATCTCTCCAAAGCCTCATCCCTGTATGTTTGAAGCCCCCCCCCACCCTACCTCAAAGAGGTTTTAACAGGGATCGTAAGATTAAGGCCGTAAAAGAGAAGGGGGTCTCGTTAATGCGGCGTCTACATGCTTCTTGAGACGAGCATCAACCGGCAAGCCATGCAGAGTTTAGGGATTAGGGTGCAGGGTTAACCGTGCATCCCGGTTCACCGAAAACCCTGGAAACGCTGAACTCCAGAAACCCCGGGTAGAAATTGATCCGAGAGGCCTTGCCACCGGCAGTACATCGACACGGAGGAATCTTGAGGGAACTGGAAGATATAAACCGACACATTGTTCCTGAAAGCTTTGTCGGTCTGGGGCTGTCTCAGCTAATAGTAAAAATTCGGATTTAGGGCTATGAATATTTCACATTGAAATATAAGGAGTTACCTAGACCCCCTGGACACGTCTAACAAGCCGGTTGGCATCTGGCACCCGGGTCCTGATGTCAGGACCCGGGCTTTGCGAGATTTGGAACTTGTTTGATGTCGATGGTTGGTTCATTTTTTCTTGTACTAGTAGGGAACGTTTGTTGGTTCTGGTGAACGCACGCGCAACGGGAGTCGAAGGTTTTTTTCATTTGAGGAAACCGTCTTTGAGCGAAGGAAATACTGGAGTGAAGAACAGGGAAGGAGAGGCTCCAGATAAAATTCTGTCAAAGGCTTCAGGGCTGTAGTCATCATTGTGCACGTCTCCGTTTGCACTTGCGTGTCCAATTTCCGATGTATGGGCCCGATTCGGGAGTCATGCGTGGTTCAGTTGTTTCTTGGCGCTGCAAGGTGTTTGTAAGCATCTACTGCTCGACCGGCAAAACTCGAGGCCAAGAGAGGCCCAGGTCTACCTATAGTCTCCAGATATGGCTTCCTTTTTTTGGTTTAACCAAGTCCATAGTTAGGATCCTATACCCTAAACCCTAAACCCTAAACCATAGTTAGGATCCTATACGGTAACCCAGAAGGCGAACTTGAATGGAGACTGTTCGTTCTTTATAGGAGCCCGTTACTATCGGCTTTCAAGCTGTCTCTGTCGAGACTACTCCTGCTCATGCTCCAAAGTCCACAGAAAACCGCGTGTACTTTAATCTCAACATCCCAAACCCTTTTTTTGAGCAGGGACTGCAATGCACTAAGCCCTGAATCCCAAACCCTAAAACCCTTAAACCCTAAATCCTAAACTCTAAACCCTGAACCCTGACACACCTCGAACCTTGATTCCAAGGAAAACCTTCGCCGGTGTCTCTCTGCAGATTATTCGGCCGGGCATCACTCCCTGCAGCGATCCCAGAGGTGGCGATATGGAGTCGAAGAGCGGAGGTGCATAGTACCTGGTTGCTGCAGAGATCAGGGGATGATTCGAAAGGGGGTTATTTCACAGTAGTTTAAGACCGTGTAGATTTGTGTGTGTGTGTGTGTGTTTGCGTGCTGGTCTGGCGAGGGGCGGGAGGACGTTGTTCAAGGGTTGTAGGAATATCGGCCAAACTATACTGCGCGGAGGTTCGGGATGGAAGGTTGCGCATTTCAGCACTGACAACTAGGACAAGCCTGGCGAGGTTGCGCGTTTAGGGCTTCAGGCATTGAGGGCTCTGAGCTGAGAAGTGGGCAGACCAGTTTTGGGGCGAGATTGTTTCACGATGGCTTGAGTCTATAGCCGGGTTCATATGGTTCAGAGTAGAAGTTGCTGACTTCCATGTGGAGAGCCTGATTCTGCCTATATACTATAAGCCATATATATTCCGAAGTCTCAGGCCCTGTAAAACACCAAAGCTCTGGGCTCTATAAGCTTCCCCCCCCCCCCGGAGAATCCAAGCTGCGAAAACTTGGCGGGAGGATAGCCCCAGTCCGCCCCGTCGTTGACAGAGAACTGGGCTTCAACCTCGGGTTCTCCGTATAGGGTTTAGGGTTGAGCTGCTTCAAACAAAGGTGCCTACTCGCAACTCGGAGTCTAAATTCCACCACCCTGAGGGTCCAAGTATCTATTTAGAATGGCATCTACTGTGCCCTAGATGATATTTTTGATAGCCGCATATATGTGGATAGATCTATATATATATATATACACACACACCATCTTCGCCCCCTTTAGGGCTTACCAACCTGTCTAGCAGCTCTAGTTGGTGCCTTTAAGGGCTCGATGAAGGAGGCTACACTCTTCCAACAAAGGTGCCGGTTCTACGGGATCTGAAGGTTCTTGGCTTGGTTTGAAGGGTGCAATAAGAGATTTTAGGATTATTCAGGCTTGCTTTATGAGGTGTCAGCAAATCGTAAACCTTACCCGGTGCGGCTCTGAGCGCTTTGACGCTTTGTTTCTAAGTTGACGGATCAAAACGGCAAGATTTGAAGCTTTTATAAAATGTTACGCAAAACCAGTGCCACGATCTAAGAATCTAAGGACCTACACAGAATCCCAAACCTAAAGCCAAGGCCCGATACAACCTGCAGTCCACCTCAACCTCCTCTCTGTGAAAGGCGGGCTTCGGTCTGAGCGCCAGTGACGGGAGGCGCCCTTCGGTCGGCTGTTTTTTTTGGTTTGGGTTTTGGGTTTTGG